GGGTTTATTTAGTAGGGTTAGTATCATGGAGATATAACTTGGGGTTTATTTAGTAGGGTTAGTATCATGGAGATATAACTTGGGGTTTATTCAGTAGTGTTAGTATCATGGAGATATAACTTGATGTTTCTTCAGTAGTGTTAGTATCATGGAGATATAACTTGGTGTTTATTCAGTAGTGTTAGTATCATGGAGATATAACTTGGTGTTTATTCAGTAGTGTTAGTATCATGGAGATATAACTTGGTGTTTATTCAGTAGTGTTAGTATCATGGAGATATAACTTGGTGTTTATTCAGTAGTGTTAGTATCATGGAGATATAACTTGGTGTTTATTCAGTAGTGTTAGTATCATGGAGATATAACTTGATGTTTATTCAGTAGTGTTAGTATCATGGAGATATAAATTGGTGTTTCTTTAATAGTGCTAGTATCATGGAGAAATAACTTGGTGTTTATTCAGTAGTGTTAGTATCATGGAGATATAACTTGATGTGTCTTCAGTAGTGCTAGTATCATGGAGATATAACTTGGTGTTTATTCAGTAGTGCTAGTATCATGGAGATATAACTTGGTGTTTATTCAGTAGTGTTCGTATCATGGAGATATAGCTTGGTGTTTATTCAGTAGTGCTAGTATCATGGAGAAATAACTTGGTGTTTATTCAGTAGTGTTAGTATCATGGAGAAATAACTTGGTGTTTTGTCAGTAGTGCTGGTATTATGGTGCTATGACTCAGTAATCCTTCAGGAGTGTTAGTATTCTGTAGACAGGGGTCTTGTATTTGTTTTAGAAGTTATATAACAAATACAGTTCCTGAGAATCCAATATCTGCTTTGTTATCGAAAGAATTCAAAAGATTTTATGGTTTAGTTGTATACATAACAAATTATGCAGAAGTAATAAACACAAGAGGAGGGAGGGAAGGAGAAATGACAGGACATTATCTTTACTTAGCACATTTGATATGTTTTTTTTTATGGTAATAATACATCACATTCAACTGTCCTAAGTTACATTGTTTTTTTATAGAGGACAGGAGACTATCAGAAATCAGTGAAAAACTTAGCATCTATATTCCAGCATATTACGGTAAGGTTAAAATAAACTCGCATCTCTATTTCGACATGTTACGGTAAGGTTAAAATAAACTCACATCTCTATTTCGACATGTTACGGTAAGGTTAAAATAAACTCACATCTCTATTTCAACATGTTACAGTAAGGTTAAAATAAACTCGCATCTCTATTTCGACATGTTACGGTAAGGTTAGAATAAACTCACATCTTTATTTCGACATGTTACGGTAAGGTTAAAATAAACTTGCATCTCTATTTCAACATGTTACGGTAAGGTTAAAATAAACTCGCATCTCTATTTCGACATGTTACGGTAAGGTTAAAATAAACTCGCATCTCTATTTCGACATGTTACGGTAAGGTTAAAATAAACTTGCATCTCTATTTCAACATGATACAGTAAGGTTAAAATAAACTCGCATCTCTATTTCAACATTTTACAGTAAGGTTAAAATAAACTCACACCTCTATTTCAGTGTATTATGGTAAGATTAAAATAAAGTAAGCATATTACAGTAAGAATAAAATAAACTCTCCACCCATATTTAAGTGTAGATTAAAATGTTAGATTAGATTAAAATGTTTTATTGTTTTTAGTTTTGTAGAAGAAACTATATATTTGAATGTTAAACGAGATCAGTGGTTCTCAATTTTGTTTGTAGACCACCTGGTGGTGTTTTTTATCTTGACTGACAACAATGGGATCTATACACTATACTGCTGTATGGGATCTATACACTATACTGCTGTATTGGATCTATACACTATACTGCTGTATGGGATCTGTACACTATACTGCTGTATTGGATCTATACACTATACTGCTGTATGGGATCTATACACTATGCTGCTGTATGGGATCTATACACTATACTGCTGTATTGGATCTATACACTATACTGCTGTATGGGAACTATACATTATACTGCTGTATGTGATCTATACACTATGCTGCTGTATGGGATCTATACACTATGCTGCTGTATGGGAACTATACACTATACTGCTGTATGTGGATCTATACACTATGCTGCTGTATGGGATCTATACACTATACTGCTGTATTGGATCTATACACTATGCTGCTGTATGGGATCTATACACTATACTGCTGTATTGGATCTATACACTATGCTGCTGTATGGGATCTAT